TTAAAAGAAACTTATTCATAAATATTATATTTATTTATTAAAATAATATAACTATAATAATAAATATAATAAAAATATTTATTTTATTTAAATATATTTATAAAAATATATATTTATCTAAATAATAATAATAACCTATTTATTTATTTTAAATAAAATTATCTATAAAAATAATCAATTTCCACTCCATTTTCTCTTTTATTTCTCTCCTAACAAACAATTTTTATTTTTACTCTATTTTTTTTATACTTTCTTATACATCTTTTCTCCTCTTTTTTCTTCATCTTCTTCATTCCTTTCCTCTTTAATAATTACAGGTCTTGTCACAAACAGCGAAAAGATACCTGCTAACAATTTCGTGTATAGGTGCGGAGAAGTATCGAATTAATAATTCTACGTCTTTCGGTGTGTGAAAAAAAATAAATTGATGGATGTTAAGTTAGCGCAGGGAATCCTAATTATAAAGGTATCACTGAGATGGTGGGAACACGTAGAAGAAAGGATGAAAGATAAAAAAAGAAAAAGGTGATATAGTGGACCAACGCGCATGCAGAAGACAAGATAAAATTGAAAAAAAGCATCATAAAATGTGATGAACAAACGCGGAAACTTCTGGGTTGATAGAAGTGATATACTTTTTTCCTTTATTTAATTGAAAAAAGAAGACTTCTAAAATCAACTCTCATTTGATCGTTGCATGGTCTCATACTCTGATTAATTAGAGCGTCTACCCTCAATCTCAGTTTCATTCGAATCATACTCTTTTGGCATCTACTATGGCAGAACATGCATCAGCCTCTTCTACTTCTATGTCGAGATACACTTATGATGTGTTTCTTAGTTTTCGAGGTGAAGACACTCGTTATGGTTTCACTGGTAATCTATATAGTGCTTTGAGTCGAAGGGGAATCTTTACCTTCTTTGATGATGATGCTCTACGTAAAGGTGAAGAGATCAACCCTTCTCTTCGCAAAGCAATACAAGAATCCAGGATCTCAATCATTGTTTTCTCCAAAAACTATGCCTCCTCAACATTTTGTTTGGATGAGCTTGTTCATATCCTAGAGTGTTACACCAAACACAACATGTGGATATTGCCAGTGTTTTATGATGTTGATCCATCACACGTGCGACATCAAAAAGGGTGTTTCGGGGAAGCCTTTGCACAGCACGAACGTGGAAGATTCAAAGACGATATTCAGCAGCTGCAAAAATGGAGGATGGCTTTGCATCAAGCCGCTGATTTGTCTGGTTCGCATTTCAAAATTGGGTAACACCACTTTTTATTTCTCATTTACTGTGTCCAGCCAGTTTAATTTGCTATTGGGAAACCAGTTTTGGACACTTTTTAATTATTTATTTTTTTATTTTTATTAACACTCTACTAACATTTTTTTTTATCTCTTTTCTTATTATATCATATATATCACCCATTATGTTTATATTTTTTCTTTTTTATTTCTCTCTTAATAGGTGTTTTCTTTTAACCTTGAGATAATTAATAACCAATAACCAAAGATAAAAAGATTACAATTGCAGAAACTTCACACGCCCTTGGTCAACCAAGAGGTCTCTCAATAAGTGTCTAACAACATTTGATGTTTCTTATTATTTAAAAAAAAAAAAAACATTTGATGTGCTCAAAAGTATTTTTCTTTATTATTTAAGAAAAGTTCCGTGATTTGAATGGTTTAGGTTTGAATAAGAAATAAAAGTTAAAACATATAGGAAAATTATAATTATTGTTTAATGATAATGAAATTATGTATTTTCAAACCTAATATTAAAGTGTAATATTAAATGTTTATTAATAAAGAATATATAATATCAAATAAATTTATTTTAATAAAACTAATTTATAAACTCCTTAAATTAATGTCTAGTTAAATATTCTTATTATATGTCATAATATTACATACCTTTCATATGTAAAAAAAAAAAAGACTAAATTATATACAATTAAATACCTCCTTAAAGTTTCATGATATTGCATTTACAATTCCTACTTTTTTTATCCATACATTAATTCTTTAGGATACTGTTGGTACAAAGATTGTTTTTGTTTGTCTTTTCCAGAATTTAAAATTAGAAAAATTAGTTTTTCATGTCTGATTAGTTAATTATAAAATAATATCTCTACAAAACATTATTTTCTGTGAATGTTTCTTATTTATGTTTTTCATGAAATTATTCCTATCTAATAGATGAGAATCTAACATTTTCAAGTTAAATAAAAAGTTTTATTCAAATAAAAATATTATTTATCTTTATTTACTTATTTAATGTAATAAAAATAATTGATTCCTAATGAGTAACATAATAAATATCCTTAAGAACTTTTATGACCAACCAAATTCATTTTAATAATTTGTAAAAATCATGATTTTGATATTTATTATAATTCCTACGAATTATGGTTCTCGAACATGAAAAAAATTTCTTCTACCAAACACCCCCTTAATTGTTTGATAAATACCTCACTAGATAAATACCTCACTAAATACTTCGCTGACACTCGCTAAGACATTACATTAACAACTCTTAATTATTTAAAAAATATTGCATTGGAATCCCATATTAGGGAGGATGATGTAAATTTTGAAAAAGGAAATTATGTGCCATTTCTCGAAACCTTGAGGAGTATCAATCTTATTTTCTCAAAAGTATATGACACTAAATTAGTTTCTAATTATGAGGTGGAAACAAACTATAAATTGGGTGCATTAATTTAATTTCACTTGTATTAATGACAGTGGAGAATATGAGTGTAAGATCATTAAAAAGATCATAGAAGAGATCTCCAATAAACTTAATCGACATCTCTTGCATATTGCCTGTTATCCTGTTGGATTGCAAGTTCGGGTGCAACGTATACAAGAACTTATGAATGCTCAGTTTGATAACAAAGTGATCATGCTTGGGATTCATGGAATGGGTGGAATAGGAAAATCAACGCTTGCCCGTGCTATATATAATTTGAGAGCAAATCAATTTGAAAGTTCTTGCTTTCTTGCTAATGTTAGAGAAAAGTCAATTAAGCATGGTCTAGTGCATATTCAAGAGACAATACTTTCTGAATTAGTTGAGGAAAGAGATATCAAGTTGGGAGATGTACATCGAGGAATTCCAACACTACAAAAAAGACTGTCGAAAGAAAGTCCTTCTTGTTCTTGATGATATTGACAAAAAAGAACAATTACAAGCAACTGCTGGAGGACTGAATTGGTTTGGCCCTGGTAGTATCATCATTATAACAACAAGGGATAAACGTTTGTTAGATACTCATGAAATCAAAAACTTATACGAGGTTGGAAAATTGAATTTTATTCAATCTCTTGAATTGTTTAGATGGAATGCTTTTAAAAACAAAAAAGATGACCCAAATAAAATGGAACTCATAAAGCGTGCATTATATTGTGCCGGTGGCCTTCCTTTGGCTTTGGAAATAATAGGCTCAAACTTTGTGGATAAAACATTAGATGAAGAATGGGATTCTGTGTTAAAAACATATGAGAGATTTCCAAATAGAGATATTCAGGAAATTCTTAGAGTTAGCTATGATAGTTTGGATACTAATGAGAGAGAAATATTTCTTGACATAGCTTGCTTCTTTAGTGGATACACTCTAAGAGATGTTACAAATATGCTTGAGGCAAGAGGCTTTCAACCAAAATTCGGTATTAGAGTGCTTCAAGAAAAATCTCTGATAAATATTGATTCATTTTCTAGAAAATGTAATGATCAAATTATGATAATGCATGACTTGGTTCGATCTATGGGAAAAGAAATGGTTAGAGAACAATCAAATTTTCCAGAGAAAAGAAATAGGTTGTGGTTTTGTGAGGACATTGTTCGTGCTTTGGACAAAAACACGGTATGTAAGAATCATATATCCATGCATTTCCATTTCTTTTACCACTCATCATTATTAGTTGAATTTGTACAATATTTTATGATTTTTAACCCTTGTTAATAGGAACCAGTACAATGATTATAACAAATAAATTATAACTTTGTTGTTCCATTTGGCTTAACAGGAAAATGAAATTGAAGTCATGATGTTAGACATGCCAAAAGATCTAAAAGTTCAATGGAATCAAACGGTGTATAGAAAAATGAAAAATCTACAAATGATGCTCGTAAAAAGTAGTGTTGCCTCTCTTAGAATGCCTAAGGATCTCCCAAACAGTTTGAGGGTGCTGGAATGGTGGGGATACCCTGGAGCTTCTTTACCATCTAATTTTCATTTGAAGAATCTTGTCATACTCAACTTGTCATACAGTTGCTTTCGATGGGACAAACCACTTGAGGCATGTCTAATTATTTATAAGTGATGAAACATTTATAGTTTTTTTGTTATACACTCTAACTTGACTCTTGAAGATATTAATGAAGACTTACTATTTTGCAGAATTCGAAGATGTTGAGACAGTTGGTTCTTAAAGGTTGTAAGAACATAAGACGAGTTCCAGACATGTCTGGTTTTCCCAATTTGACAGAATTATGTCTCGCTGATTGCACAAATTTGATTAAAATTCATGATTCATTAGGATTTTTACATAATCTTCGATGGTTATGTGCTGAAGGATGTACCAAACTCGTGATTTTCCCACGTCGCATAAAGTTGACATCTCTTGAACATCTTTGCATTAAGGATTGCAGTAGTCTTGTTATGTTGCCCGAAATATTGGCACCAATGCAGAAACTAAAATATGTTGACTTGGACGGAACTTCCATAAAAAATCTGCCACGTTCAATGCAGAATCTTAAAGGCCTTCAAATCTTATCCATGAATAGATGCAAAATGCTTGAAATTAATGGGCGTTCCAATGTCGTTCAAATGCTGCCAAAATTATTTCCCTATTTGAAAGAATTATGGTTAGATGAATCAAGTTTGACAATCATTCCTGCATGCATTGAAGAGTGTCACTCATTGGATTATCTAAGTCTGTATAACTGCAAGAAGCTTCGAGAAATAAGAGGCCTTCCGCCAAACATGACTAGACTCTCGGCAGAAAACAGTCTTGTGGAAGTAGATTCATCAACTTTAAACATGTTAGTCAGACGGGTTAGTCTCTCTTCTATAATTGTCTCCACAATTACTTGTTTGAAAAATGCAAACAACGTATCTCAAACTAACACTCTCTCCTGTTGATAAATTTGCGCGCTTGTTTCTCATTGACTAATTCTCATCACCAAATTAGTAATATGGACATGAATTTCAATTAACAAAAGAGGATGTGTAATAGTGTGTTCCTAGAGCACTAGTACTCTTCTTAGTTATGTTGTTTTCCAAACTCACAAAATGGCATGTTTGACAGGCAATTAATTCTTCTGGAATACGACTATATGCTTTGCCAGGTCATCAGGTCCCAGAATGGTTTGACCACTCTACCTACGGAAACTCTCTACGTTTCTGGTTTCGTAATAAATTGCCATCTTTCACTGTGTGCGGTGGTGTTCTAGGAGTTTGTGAGAATACCGAGCTTCGTTTTGTTTTGAAATTAATTTATTTAGTTAGAATCAATGATGTTCACGTGCGTGTTTCTTCTCCCGCTTCTGTGTATATAGACTGGCGGGATGTTGAGAATGACCATGTATTGATGTTCAATCTTGAAAGTTTTTTTAAGCATCCAATGGATAACCACAGTAGAAGAACAATTAACACAAATGAGTGGATTTATGGGAGTATTTCGTTTGTGATAACACCGTCGGAAAATGATTCACTTAGATTGGAATTAATCAAATGTATTGGAGTTCATGTAAACCGGGCATTTTGTAGAATGGAGGATGTTCGGTTCACAGATCCTTATCCTCCCAATACCAATAATACAAGACATGTGGGAAATCAACTTTTGTTGCCTGGTGAGGAACCTGATATACAAGTAAAGAACCAATCACTAGCATTACTCAAGCCCTATCAAATTGGGGAACAACCTTTGAATTATGAGTCTAGCAATTCAGATTCACAGGTGTGCACTATTCACTATCCAAATGGCCAAGGTAAAAAAATGCCTTTTGTCCTTCTCTTGTTTTCATTTGGGTAAATTTCTCATAGTCTTGAAGGACTTTCAAGTGAGAAAAATAAAAATAAAAAATAAAATAAGTTTTCTCAAAACTTAAAATTAACATCAGTTAATTTCTAAAATCTCTCTCCTTCTAAAAAAACAGTTTATTTTTCAAAAGAAAAAAAATGTTTACAAATATAAATTTTTGTCCCAAACAATCACCATATTTTACAAATAGATTTTTTTTTCAAAAAAAAAAAAAAATAGTTGAATCTTGGAAAATAATCTTTTCCGGACACTCTTAAAAAGTGTATTCGAAAAGGTTTTGAAAATTAAATTATACATCAATAACTGATTATATGAATAATTATTTATTATTATAACTTATTATAATGGAAATAAGATTTTATTTGGATAAATTTATTTATAAAAAAAATAATATTTAATTTCATGTAGATACAACCAAAACTTAATTTCTAAACCAACTTAAAAAGAAAAAAATATATTGAAAAGTAATAAGATTCAAAATTTTAATTTTACAACAATAACTTATTTTTCTGAAAAAAAAAACAGTTGTTAATATATTTAATTTGTTCAGCTTTTTTAATTTTTTTTTTTGTATAAACAGCTTTTGGCCAAAATAACAGCTGAAATGGGAAGATTAAATCTCTCCCAAACATACTGCTTCTGATAAATTTTTTTTCTAAATAAAGGGTTGTGTTCAGGTTCTGAGAGAACTGAGATTCTGGAAGTCTCAATAGATGAAGCAGCCATCTCATGTCAGAACAAGGAAGTGGTGATGGTTGAAGCTTGTGAGGGTAACAAAAAAAATGATGCTAACATGCAAGATGGTCATCATATGGCAGCAGGAGAATTAGATCAACTAGCAGAAGCATATGCTAATCCCTCTGAGCATCAACATGGAGAAATCATGAAACAAGCTCCTCCAATTTCACAAGATGCAACACCATTTCTGCCACAGTATATTGCTGATTCTGAAACCAAAAGAAAAGCACCAACTTCTGAGATATCAATAGAGAAAGTAGTCAAGAAAATAAGGACAGATCAGGAGATGCTTTTCAATAATGTGGCCACTCTTCAAGAAAGACAGAACCAGTTCTTCCATTGGTTCAACACAGAAGTCTTGCCCATTTTTGCCCCAACAGCAAGACCCTTTCCTTCCACTGGTTCCACTATTTCTTCTGGACAATCTTCACAATCTAAGAAGATTGAGGAAAAAAAGGGAGAAAATTAGAAGATTAGAGGGGCACAAAATTTGATTTTCTCATAGGATAAAGTACTACTTTTTGTATATGATGGTGATTGTCTGTATTGTTCTTCATTTGATTAATGAAATTCTATGCACCATTGAATGCTTCCATTGATTTGAGAGTGTTTTATGATTAAATAATGATTCTAATGCTGAATTAAATTGAACATTGTTTCTGAATATATGAACCGCAACTTAACATATATAAGCATCATAGAGAAACATATAAAAAACTATTTAACAAGAAACATGTCTGGAACTAAAATGCCTTAACAAATCCCCGAATGGTTTGACCTCTCTAGAAAAGGAAACTCTCCATGCTTTTGGTTTCGAAATGAATTGCCCTCTCTGTGTGTGGAGTTTCCTTTCCGCGTAAACTTCAATTTCTTTGTTACAATCAACGCTATTTGTTTACGTGGTTCTCTTAAGCATGGTACTGCAAAATTCATGTCATACACGTACAGAGTACCAAATAAAGTCAACATCTTGTTACTGTAGGCGTAATACATTCTGCATTTGAGAATGACCATATATTTATGATCAATGTAGAATATCGCTTTTTCTATCCAATGAATTCTGATATTGAAATAGCACTTTGAAGCAAAGGCAAAATGCGAACACTGATATCAGAACTTTCAAGGGAGTTCACTCATCCAACCAGGGATTGCTTTGAAGCATGAGAAAATTGAGTCCACACTCAACAGCATGAGTCGCATAAAGTTGATGAAGTAGAAGTAGGTTTCGAAACTAAGAAGAACCAGTTCAGCAAATCCAAGGCTTTGGAAAATGAGCTGCACAAAAAGCTAAACAGGATTAAGAAAATGAAAGACGATTTAGGAGAACAACTGAGTGCTATTAAAGCTAACATCTCTTCCATCAAAGCAATTATCTATGCTCCTATATCAGAAAGGAACATTAGTTGTAAGAGCAAGAGTGATGAGATTTTTTGTGAACACTCCACTTGACAAGCGGACCAAGTTTCGTTGTAGAAATACAGTATCGTCCTCAGGGATTTGAGAGTTTAATAATTCTTACTCTAATGACTTATATAAAGACATTGATGTGATTGCAAATGAGTTAATGTGATGTAAAATAAAATGATAATATAAAATTTGTAATAACAATTATGAGAAGCAAGGATTGGGTTCAGGAACACTTGCTAACTCTTAAATCTTCTTAAAATAAATACGATTTCAATCTCATTACCTTCATGTTCATTTAGTAATCCAACAAGATTCCTCAAAGTTGAATCCTAAAGTGATCAATCTTAAAACATGATTCTTCTATGTTTTGAGTTTAACACTTTGTATTAAGAACAATGACTTGAACAAGGGTAGCTAACCAAATCAAGTATATTCCTAGAACAAGAGATGGTTAGGTGCAAGATTCACTTCGGGTTTTCAAAAACGTTTTCCAACTGGATACAAAAACCAAAATCATACAATGGGTGATCAAACCGCTACAAGCATTGAGTGAAGAATCAAGCACAAATAATGAGATTAAAATGCATATATTTAAGAAGAAGAAGAGTTAGTAGTTACATCCAGCCAATCCTCAATGGATTCAGCCACACATAGCCATTACAAGATCAAAAGAGTGAAAGAAGAAATTACAAAGTAAAAGATGAAGAAAAGGGGTTAATCTTCCTTCCCAAATGATCCAACTTCCTGATCTTCGCTCCTGCCCTGTTTTCTCCTCTTCGTGCTCCCAGTCCTGTTTTTCTCTCTTTGTTTTATGATGTCCTAAAAAGTTCCTTCGTTTCCCTTTTATATTAGCTTCAAAACAGGGGAGGAATTGTAATTTTTAAACCCACTATTGCAGTTGTAGTTTCACAGCTATAGCTGTGAAAACTCTTTCGAGGTGAAGTAAGCTTCATAGCTGCAGCTGTCACTACAAGAAAATTGCGAATTAGAGAGGGAAAGATCCCTCGCAAATCCCTCGCTAAACAGAATGGCGAGGGACTAGCGAGGGATTTGCGAGGGATCATTCCCTCACTAAATTCAAGTCGCTAATTAGCGACGGATGCATATCCCTCTCAATTCCCTCGCTATATTCCTTCGTTTTTCCCTCGCAACCAGCTTCACTAGTCCGTCGCAAACTTGTGCCGCTAATTCTTCATTGCCGCCTCGCAAATGTAGAACCTAAATTCCCTCGCTAATTGTATTTAATATTTCCTCGCTAAAACGTCGCAAAACCTTCGCAAGATATCCTTTGCTACTTTGTCGCCATTCCATCGCAAAATATTATTTAATTATTTCCTCACTAATCGTTCGCCATTCCGTCGCAATTATCCCTCGCGATATTGTCGCTAATTCCTCGCAACTCTGAAGCAATATATCAATTGAGGTCCCTCGCAAATCCCTCGCTAAACCCTCGCAAATATGTCCTTCGCAAATTCCTCGCTAAACCCTCGCAAATATGTCCTTCGCAAATCCCTTGCTAATCCCATGCAAATCCATCAAAGTATATGGATTGAATTCCCTCGTGAATACCACGCTAATCCCTCGCGAAACCTTCACAACATATCTTTTGAGTTTCCTCGCGAATCCCTCGCTAATATCTCGCTTTCCTAATTTATCTATATATACATTATTCTCTCATGAATCCCTGTAAATATGCCACTTAATTTGATATTTTAAATAAATCTAAATCAACTACATATTTTTTTTTCAATTCGACATGATTTAAAATAAAAGTTGCATGTAACAATATCTCTTACAAAACCAAATTGTTAAATGTCTTACAAAATCCAACTTGTGCATACTATCTTAAAGAAACCTAAACTAATTAATGTCTTACAAAAAGAAAAGCCAAATAATGAGTCATCCTAAATAGTAATCAACCTAAGCTAGTAAAATCATCATCTCGTCCTTGATCTTCCCTATGTTAGTTGGTTGATGGTGTTGTTGGTGGTTGAACTGCTTGAATTATTTGCCTCATCATCTCTAGTATTTGTGTTTGCAAAAAAGAGGCCAGTGCATTATTTATAACTGCAGTGACCCGTTCTTCTGTCATAGGCGTAAGATTTGTAGAGGAACCTGCAACCTCTGGAGATGAAGCTTGGGTAGAGCTACTAGTTCCAAGATCCAAGCTATGTCCCATGCCATGCACTCTTTTCTTCTTGTTTTCACCTGCAACTTTTAACCAAAGATCAGAATCAATTACAGGATGAGATGAAGTGTCTTCTCCATATTTTTGTGTCATTGATTCTTCATATGTTTCCTACAAATAAAAAACAAAAAAAAAATAAGTGAAATAGTAAGAGGTTAAAAAAGTATATAATCAATCTTAAAATATAAAATAACATACAATAAATTTCTTTGCCCTAGTTGAGACAAATTCACCATCATTTTTTTGTGAACTTTGTTACACTACAAGAAAATTACATATTAGCGAGGGACTATTCCCTCGCTATTTCCTCTCTAATCTCTCGCTAATCAGTTTTGCGACGGAATAGTGATGAAATTGCGAGAGACCATTCCCTCGCTAAATACAGGTAGCTAATTAGCGAGGGATTTAATCCGTCGCCAATCCCTTGCAAAATTTGTCGCTAATCCCTCGCTAAGGTCCTCACTAATTATATTAAGGACGCTTACTATTTGCTCGCTAATTTGCGATCAAGCTTCCCCGTTATTCCCTCGCTAAGGGGTCGCAAAATATCCCTCTCTAATTTGTAGCTAATCCCTCGCTAATGTTCCCTCACAAACCCCTCTCTATTCCCTTGCTACATTTCTTAGCTAAGGCCTTGCAATTCCCTCCCTGAATATCCCTCGCAGACCCTTCTCTATTCCCTCGCAATATTTCCCTAGCAATTGTCTCGCTATTCCCTCGCAATATTTCCCTAGCAATTTTCTCGCTATTCCCTCGCAATATTTCCCTAGCAATTCTCTTGCTATTCCCTCGCAATATTTCCCTAGCAATTATCTCGCTATTCCCTCGCAATAATTCCCTCGCAATATTTCCCTAGCAATTGTCTCGCTATTCCTTCGCTATATTTTCCTAGCTATTTGCTCTTTTTTCCCTCACTATTTTGTCTTTCACATGATATGCCTCGCTATTTCCTAGCAGATCCCTTACTGTTATATTTTGGTTATCATCACTAATCCCTCACTATTTTGTCGCAATTTTATTTTTAATA